ACCTCTGCATAAAACTAATGAAAAACAAGCTAAAACAGTATTAAACTATTAAGCCATGCATATGTTGGAACCTTTGTTTCAGTTGGAAAAATCATTCCATATGTATGAAAATTAAACGTAAATCGCATATTAAACTATCATCAAATTTCAATTTTCAATATCAATTTATTATTTATCACAAATCACAGTTTACAACCACATATTATCACATATTCTCAAATACACAAAATTCCCAATTTTCATAAGTTATAAACGTGAACAATCACAATCATGACCCATAATTGATAAATGATAAATCGATGAACTAGAGTCTAAAAGAACAAAAACCAAAAAAAGAAACAAAAAGACAAAGAGAGACAGGGATTGGGCTCATCAGAGGCTCACAAGTCATGGAGAGGCGATGTGGCAATCCTGATGGAGACTCGTCGACAGGAGGTCAGAGAGCGTGCGCAATGGAAGGAGTTTGCCGGCTTCTTCCTTGCTTTGTTATTTGAAATTCAATTGTAAAAGCAAACAATTATATAAGGGGAAAATTCACATCATAAGTGTTATGTTTACCCCAATTCAAAAATGAGGTAATTGTTTGAAAATTCAAAAATCAAGTTTGTATTTAATTAATTAAAAATATTTATTAAATAAAGATAATAAAATCACCGTTACATGATTAATGGTCACAAATTCATAATTATAGATCACAAATTTATTTACTGGTTACATAATATCAAATTTATTGGTCACAGATTATTTTGTGGTCACAAATCAAATATTTCGATGTCACCAATGATTCAAATTATAGGTCACATTTTATCTATGAGTCACATAGATCACAGTTTATTGGTCACAAATTATTTTTTAGTCACATACACCTAATTTTTTTGTCACAAATCAGCCAAATAATTGGTTACAGACGCCCAAATAATTGGTCGCAGACACCCCCCACTCGTCACCTCACCATTATGAGCATCACCGCCTCTTGCCACCACCATCATGAGCACCACCGTGTCTATGACACCACCACAATACCATGCCCACAACACAACAAAACCGACAACACAACAAAAAAGTGCCGAAAAATCACACCACCACCAACAACAACGCATCAGAAATACCACCGCACATAATTACACCCGCGCAACAACACAACAAGATAACCACCACCAACCATATCTAACCCCACCACGCCGCCAACACTACCACACCCACACCCATCACCACCACAGCCAACCAGACCACCCATCTCACGGCAATAATATAGAGACCGTTACACAGATTACATAAATCAGCACACATACTAAAGATCAATGCTCGGACCGACGTCGTGACAACTTCGTAGTCGCGGCGCTCAGATTTTAACCGGAAAATCGTTTTCATTAACACCACCACCACGCCACCAAGACCACTGCCGCCACCACCATCAACACCTCAGGTCGACGCATTGAAGCTCATTGCGACGCTTAGATTTTGCAACAGTCGCGACAAAGAAGTCCATCGCAGCACCTTCACTCGTCACAACGAGGCGAGGCAAGAGGCACTTAGTTTCCCGACGCTTGCAGAGAAAAGGCCTATGGTGGTCTCCGATGATGGAGACGTGAGATGGTGAAAGAGCACAGATACGAGAGACATGAGAGACAAAATGAGATGGAGAGTGAGGGGATGGAAAGGGGCATTTTAATTTTTGATACAAACCTAATTTATACATTATTAAACTTTGTACCTAGTTTTAGAATTATGGTTTTTAAACACATTGTTTTTTGTAATTTCCTCATTATACAAACCATTAAATCAGGACCAGTAGATTGGGCCAATTATTTTTTTTAAAAGAATAGGCCCAAAAGAGAAAGGCCCACAATTAAGAAAAGGTTCAATCCACTCTCCTTCATTTTCCTAACTTCAACTGTAGCTTCAAGTTTCATCAATGGCTCGACCTGTAAATTCTTCTCTTCTTGGTCCTGTGCAAGCATACTGGAGTTTTCTATGTCAACCCTAAAGTCCAGTGCGTGCAACTGCCCACATTGGACTCTAAGTAGCTCCGGCTCTGACTCCATGAACCCTTCGAAAAAGTTGGGTATATATTTAGATTGATTATACTTATATTAAGCCCTTATTTGTTGGGAATTAAAATGAGATTTTTAGTAAATTAAAAAAAAAATTTGGATAAAATATGTGATTGAAAAGTTATGATACACATAAGATGTATGGTTAAAATTAATTATTAACTTTAATTTAGAATAAAATCCATGTTTTAATTTCTAACAAATATTGGCAAAAATATGGTCAATAAGCTACGTGCCAAAACCCATTAATCTATTCTGAATCATGAGAATCAGAGAAGATCGAACTCCATGGCAACATCGTTTTCTTCTTCTTACTACTTATCCAGTCCTCGCGGCAACCAAAGCCGGTCCTGGGCACAAGCCTCATTTGCCCGTGCATCAGGCCCAAAATCACAAATGGCCTATTTTGGCCCAAAGTTTTTTTTTTTTAATATTAAAAGAAGGAAAAGGAAAATAGTTTTTTTATTAATTGTGAGATGATTGAGATATTTGTTTGTTGTTTTAATATTAAGTTTGAAGTTAATAATATGTTACATAATATATCGTTGAATTTTGCATTTACGTTGATTTTGGAACCTAATTTTTGAACTCACCTCGGGCCCCGACAATCACAGGATCGGCCCTGGCAGCAACCAATCTCCCACTCCAACGCAACGGCTAGTTAGCATAGTACTTGTTTGAACATTTGAACCTTGGACTTCGGGGAAGTGAAGGGTAAGATTTAAGTACAATTGAAGAAGAGAGAGAGGAATCCTAGCCGTAAATACTAAATAATTCGTCTATATATTCAATAGGAGCATGAGAGAGATAGACAGCATTTATTGTTGAAGACGGGATACAATAATTTCTCTGACTGGTAAACTAAATGGCCTTTCTCGCATTGCTACCAACATCTGCCCTTCTCTGCAACCTAACGCACTCCTCCACTACTCATTTAATGGACCCTTTCGCCTTTACAGTAATGCAGTAACTCCATTTTGCTCTCAAGATTAAGAGCCATTAATCCATTCAGAAGGGTTAATTAAAACTTAAAAAATATGGGTCCATTTGTATGCGATTTTTCATAGATTTAGCTTGCTAAATGCAGGGCTAACTTGTGTGGAAGCAGATTCATTTGTTGGGGGAGAGGGTCTCCGTGTTACTAAGTTTGGTGGTGGTGCTGCGCATACTGGGATCACTGAACTCGTTTGAACTGCTGGAGCTGTTCTTTGTGGATTGTACCCTTGCAGGAATTGCAATTTTAGATGGAGACGTTAGCCCAATAAGGCTGGTTCTAATATGGGTATTTCTTGCATCATCTGCTATTTGATCAGGCAATAAATTGTTGAGCTTCCTATTATTGCTCATTTCAATAGGCTTCTTGATGAACTTCGATATACCATTGAGCAATCCATCCTTATCCGTTTCCACAATGGCTGACGCTTCTTGGAGTTCAGCTTGTGAATTCTTCATGATTTGTGTTGGGGCAGTCTTTGGATCTGTTTGATAGAAAGCTTGACAATTTGTGGACAAACTTGGGGGTAAGATTTTTGACATTGTTCTGGGTGGAGGAGGGAGCAGAGATAGAAAACTGTTCTGTTTTTGCCTTGATTTTTCCAAATTAGAATCTGAAAACAGATCCATTAGCCTACATTGTTGTTGCTGTGCAGAACCAGAATATGTGGGTTGTGTCTGATGAATATGATCCTTTCTCCTGATTACTCTAATTTCATCTTTGCGTCCAAGATTGGAAAGCACCTTACGTAGATTACTCTATCTTCGTCGTCCCAATCCCGGTTGTCGACTTCCTTATTTGTCTGAGACAGTGAATTAAAATTTGACACTCACAGAAGAATCAATATTTTTTAAACATTCAACAATGTATAGAACAATTGATAAGAAAGGAAATAAATGACATATAAAATGTACTTGTTTTCAAAGATGACCAGGCAGCAATTGCAGCATTCTTCTCAGCTTGTTTCTTTGTCTTGGCTGATTCACCAGTAAAACTCATTCCAGCAAGCTCTACTGTACTAGTAAAAACTGGAACATGACCAGGACCTGTTCTAATGGTTGTGTACAATGGAAGATCCAGTCCAGCTTTGTGAGCAGTCTCCTGAAGGAGATTCTTATACACTCCAGACTCGTCCTGAGTAGATATAGAAACAGATTGAACATATGAACATGCTAATATATAGAAGCAAATTAACCATTCGCAGCAGAAATGAACTTACAAAAACTCTTGCTGTTAAGGATCTTGAAGGACCTCTGGCAGAAAGGGTATTGAGAGCCACTTCAGCCGCGGCGTGCTCGGCCTGCCGTAAAGTGGTGCAGTAAGTAGGACTCACAAAAACTTCTCCATTGAAATTTACAGAAGCTTTGAATCTTGGAACATGATCAGGACCTTCTCTCATGCAGCATATGAAGGGAGATTGAATCGGCTTCTCTGAGCAAGTTCTTGTAGCTGATTCTTGTACATATCTGCCTAAAAGAAACCAAACCCATCAAACAACTTGCATAAACCAACATATTTTAAACAAGTAACAGAGATTGAGCTTACTCAATTGAAGCGATTTGACTCTCCTACTCCTGCATAAGCAATGGGAGTTCTCCTTTCGGGATCAGAGTAAAAGTCTTCAGTATTAAGACAGACACAGACAGAGACTTGCTGAAATTGGAAGTCTACTTTTCCAGGGGTCAGTCTTCTGAATGACCGGATTATTGGTTCTATTTTCCACAATGACTTTACTATTGGAAATACTATTTTACCCTTACTTTTATTATTTGCAAGATGTATCCTATATCTTTTCTAAATTTTACAATATTTCTTCTCCTTTCGGGATTCGTTAATCAGGACTTATGTTTATATTTTTCAATCTTTCAGACACTTCTAAATATTCTCTGTATCTTGATAATTCTTCAAAGATTCTAGGCTGATCTTTCTTAGTTATGTTTCCTAGAACTATTCCTTCTGAAACTTCTTGTATATCTTTATATTTAGTTATAATATCTTCTACTTTTTTTATTTCTCTACTAGTTCTTACAGAATCAAATTTTATATTATACTCACAATAATAATCTATATCTCTATATATTTTTTCAAGTTTTTCTTGGCCAACAGAAAATGTCTTCAGACTTTTCAGTTAATTTAAGTAAAAGCGAAATATCTTTCTTATCTAAATATAATCTAGGATCATTATCATCATTAGAAGTGGATGTGGATGCTTGTGAATTGTTCATCAAACTTAATCAAAGCATAAGCATGTAAAAGCGAGTAAATAACTTACAGTAATCGAATAAAAGTAAACAGGTTTTCCCTTCAGTATGCTCTTATAAATGTTTTGCATGTACTTAATCAATCTTCTGAATCAAGTAAAGTTTAAAATGTTTTTTAAAATCATTTGGGTCCACAACTGCTTCCGCAAAAAGGTTTTTCAATTAAGGTTGCATTTCTCATTCTAGAAAACTAGCCGTGTTTCCACAGACGCTATCTCACAGTATCTAGAGTCTCTGTTTTCACCTCTATTTAGACTCTTTTCAGAATCAAGTTCTTACTTGGAATGAAATTTTAAAAAGATAACTCACATACAAGATGCTACGATTTTGTTAGAAAACTGCATTTTTTCCCTAAACCATTCATCAAAAATGAGTACTTTGGAATGGCTAACATCCATTCAAAATCAATATTTTGAAAATCTTTTAAAATATCTATCTTTACTGCCGAGGAATCATGAGAAATTTAACGAAATCCTTTTATGAAAGTTTTGTTGAACATAACAAACTTTACTTTAATATTCATCAATTGAAATAGCACATGCTTACAATCTATATTTACATACCTTTGGTACTCACCTTATAAAGTTTAGAACTCCATAAGTAATTACCTTATTACAGGCTTTGCTCTTCTTTGACTACCTAAAAATTTTCTGAATACAAGTGGTATATACAGATTAAAAAAAAATCTCTTTTTTGATATGATTCTTCTGAGTCTCTCCTCCCTTTTATAGAAGACTTTGAGAATCTTTTCTTGACAGGTGTCTCCCTCTTCCTTTTGTTGGCTAGCTCTATAATCTTATCTCCACCAATTTCTCCATTATTTTCTTGTTAGATGGACCTCTCTTTTAGAAATTATCTGTCTTATCTTTGAATTTGTCTTTCACTTATGACAATCAGTAGGTGAGTAGTCACAATTATGAAGACTTTCTTGTACTCTCTTTTGTCTTTTAGTAGTCACAGTTTTTTTTTAATAAATTTCTTTATTAAAGTAGTGATAAAGGGCCACTTTTGTCACTATTACTTTTTCATTTTTGAATCAAAGAATTCTACAGGGAGTTCTTCACTGTTGAGGGATGCTTGACTTATATCTTCCACAACGTAGTATTCACAATGGTGGTCACTGTAGTTCCAGAATAGTTTGCACAGTTTTTTCGCATAATTGCGGATAATAATTGGTCAATATAACATATGTCTTCTTCCTTTATAGTCATCCTTGCATTTAAGTAGATTATATGGTCTTCAGATGGATAAATCCATATTTTTTCTTTCTCAATAATAATCTGAGTTACATGCTCAAATATTTCTTTGTACCCTTTTGCTCTTCTGTAGGGCATCATATTTATAATATCTTGGTATCCATTTTTAACAACCTTTTGACTGGTTGGTAAAAAATGTTGGTTTGTAAGTCCTATTTTAATAATATGGAATGATGGATACATATGTTCAAGAACGGGATCCTATTCCATAGTGGCTGAATGGAATCTGATGTATATGTTTGTTGTCTTGACAACTTCAGTATATCTTTTTACAGCTTTTCTGACGTTGGCTGGAAGTTGTGCTATTTCTTTGAGATCTTTACTGGGATATATACAGAGTATATTTCCTATCTCGAAACAGTTTCATACCCAGTTGGCTGGTGCTTCTGGATAGAAGTTTATCTTGTTGTATTTTGCATAGTGGAGAGTTTTCATCCACTTTTCTATTTTCAGATACCAATCTGATAAAACATTAAAAATAACAATAAAGAATATGACTTCTTCATGGTTATCTTTTTTGGAAAATTTTGCCTCATAGCATATTTTGACAATATCTTTTGGATCTATTCTTTCAATAGAAAGTTTAGATTCAGTTTGGCTCTGTGAAGAGCTACCTTCACTTTTAATATTTTGAATATCTTCCCTAGTGAGAATTTTGATATCTTCATTACCAGTAATAGGCTTAAGTATTCCCTGTGAAGGGGTTCCTACTACCTTCTTCTCTTTTCCTTTATTTTCGGGGAGAGAGCTAGTATTTATTGGTCCCTGTGAAGGAATACTAGACTTGGTACAAATTACTTCTGCCCCAAGGGCTATATTTTTACCTTGAAGGCTATCTTGGATATTTTGAATTTGTATTTCCAAATAGGAAACTTTTATCTCAAGTATTTGGACTTTTGTCCTTAGTTGCTCTAGCTTTATCCCTGCTGAAATAATCAGGAAGAAAGTTAGTTTTACCTTTTATATATTCAATATCAAATTTGAAGTATGAAAATCAAATTTGTATCCTGATAATATATCTATTAGCAATAGATGGATCAACATTATTTTTCGAAAAAACTTTAACTTGAGTATTATCAATTCTAATCAAAAACTTTTTTGGTAATAAATAATCTTCATATTTTTGAACTCCCCTTTTTATAGCAATGAGTTCTTTCATGTTCGTCTTATATCTCGTTTCAACTTCTTTGAATGTTTCTGATGTATAACCTACAAGTATCTTAGGACAAGAACAATTCTTTTCACATTTATATTCTTTATTATTCTTTTTAACCTTTAATACTGCTCCCCAGTAATTATTCGAAGCATCAGTTTCAAGGATAAATAAATATTCTTCTTGTGGAATTATAAGTTTGGACAATACTTTTAATTCTTCTTTTACCTTTCTTATATTTTCACAATCTTGTTTTTCCCAAGACCACATTATATTTTTTCTTAGTTTTGAAAGAAAATAATTTTTCAGTTTAGCACAATTTTCAATGAATCTTTCAACATAATTTAATATACCAAGGAAGCTTTGCAATTGTTTTTTATCTTTGATTTTTTCGGGAAATTCTTGAAGTTTCTCTCCAATATGAGATTGCAATTGCAATTCTCCTTCTTTTATAAATAATCCTAAAAATTCTATTTCTGTTTTAGCTATCTCAACTTTCTTTTGAGAAAGTGTAATACCATGTTTTTTCATAATATAACAAAATTTCTCAAGATGTTCAATATGTTCATCTATATTATTTGAATGAATAAGTAAATCGTCTACATATGTTATACAAAAATGAGTAATTGATTTAATTACCTCATCCATTCGTTTTTGGAATATCTGTGGTGCATTTTTCAACCCAAATGGCATTACATCCCATTCGTATTGTCCAAAGGATTGGAGGTACTAAATGTAGTTAATGGTTTGCTTTCTTCTGTAAGTATGATTTGCTAAAACCCTGACTTACAATCAAATTTTGATAATATCTTTTTATTCTGTACTTGCTTAATAACGGTGTCCTTATTTGGCAAGTAATATCCATCAAATTTGGTAACTTCATTTAACTTTTTATAATTTATCACCATCCTAGCCTTTCCTCTTTTTATCTCGCTATGTTTTCTAACCATAAAGGTTGGTCTGCTATGTGGACTTTTACTGTGCCTAATCAATTTTGCTCCTAGCAGTTCTTTTATCTGGTCTTTAAATTCCTTTTGGTCATCTACACTATATTTCATGGGTTTGACTCTTATTATAGTGTCTGGATTGATTAATTCTATTTTTGCCTTTATTTTGTCTGTATTATATTTTTCTAATAGATTTTCAGAATATGTTTCAGAAATTTCTTTTTTCAATTTTTCTAACCTATTTTCTGTTGTCATTTTTAAGACTGTAACTGGTTTAAATTTTTCTGTATTCCAACATCCACCACGCTGGGTTGAGGAACTTTGATAGTTTATGTCTTTATATGTTATGGTAACAGCCTTATTTATTTTTGGTGTAATTATTTTGTGTGTACAAGGAGTTGTGAACATATATTTATTAATATATTGTATAAATGTTGCATATTTTTTAATAGAAGATTTTGTCCTGATAAAATATCACAACCAATTATGGTTGACATATATATTATATCAACAAATACTTCTCTAAATGAAATTAGAAAAGGTACTTTCGTAACTTATTTGTTGTATATTACCTTATTTCCACCTGCTATTGTAGCGGTGACAATCTTTTTTGAATTATATTTCCAGTATTCAGATGGTAGTACATTTAGTAAGCATAAGTTTATTGTACTTCCTATATCTAAGTGAGCATGAAATTTAATTTTGCAATAACTTTTTATATTGAGTGTAATTTCAATATAAGGACTCATGGAATTAGTACTAATTACCCTTTCCATGATAACAATGATTTCATATTTTCATCTATTCTTGATATGATGATTGAATTATCATCAACTGTTATTTTTAAATATTCTTGGCAGATTTTATAAGAACTATGTTTCTCAAGAAAGTTCATCCCTAGTAATATAGGTGAACGATCAACTCCATATAATTCATCTTTATATAGATTATTTCTTTAGTATATTCTTTCTGATCCTCTCCCATAAGTATAAGAGGGAACTTTACATATTTTCTTATTTTAAAATTATTTCCTAAATAATCTTTGAATATATATGGTTCTGGTATTTCAAAATCTATTAAATGACTAACAAATTTAGCATTTACATGACTTTTATCTATCCAGTGTCTATTAGGACAAGAAGATTTTTCTTATATCCTTCTTGATTTACATATCTTGTCTTAATGTAATATTGTGAACTCGATGGTTCAGCAATACTTAATTTTTTGAGTTTGCTTATCTTAGAGTCTTGTCTAGAGGGGAATCTTACAATAAGATTATCTCCTTTTAGGCTGACACTATTTCTTCTTACCAGTTTTCCTTCAGAATTAATTTCTCTAACTTGTTTATGGAAATTAAGCATTATCTGTTTTGGTATAGTAACTTCATGTTCTTGGTATTTTCTAGGAGGTATATATTGTGTTAATTCCTCAAAATCTTTATGTATGATAAATTATTAGTTATTTTTCTTAGATTATTATGATGGCTGGTATTAAAAGCAAAAATTGATTTTATGCTTATGCTAATGGCCTTACTTTTTCGTAACATTTTCATGTTTCCAATTCTATAATATAGATTGAAACTTTGGTCAATATTTTCATCAATTAGTGATATTGCATAATTTGGTTTTACTGTAAATATTATCTTTTGATAGACTAAGTTTCCTACAACTATTCCTAATAGAGCATCTATAGGATCTTGTAAGATTCTGTTATCCATACAATATATTTCTATTGGTATGTCCATACCTTCTCTAAAAAATCATTTTACCATTATCTGGACACCTCCTATTTCAATGCATTTCAATTTGTTTCTTATGTTTTCCGGAATTTTCGATAACTTTTGTTTTGCCCATTCTTTTGTAATTATAGGAATTCTTGTTTTTCTTATAATATCTTCTATATTGATAGACATTTCTTTATAATTCATACTTACAATTGTTTTATTTACTCTTGGTAGTATTCCTAAGAATCTTTAATGGAATACATCTTTTTCTTGTAGGTCTAATATTTTCTTGGTTATTCCTTTGTATTTTTTAATATCAAAGGTAATTTCTTGATTTATACATTCTATCGAGTCTTCAACTTTTTCAGTTGTTTCAACTTCTATTTCTAGATCTGCTTGTTGTATCTCTTGATTCATATATATTATCTCCTCAGAATCTTCTTCTGATGAGGATGTAACTAATTCATAAATGCTACTGCATTCACTGCTTAAATCTCCAAAATATTCAATTGGTTCTATATCACTAGCATCTTGGATTTTTTCATAAATTCTAAGAGTTTTTATATTTTGTCTATCCTTCTTTTTAGGATATTGAGGGGCAATGTGTTCTTCTTCATTACAGATGAAACATCTACATTTTTTAATATTTCTTGGTTTAGATTTTTTATTCCAATTTCTTTTCTTGAAATATTTTTTGTGTGGTTTAAAATTTCTTTTCTTAATTTTTTTGTAGTTTTTGAATTTTCTTTTATATTTCTTATATGGTTTATATTTCTTCTTATCGCATTCAAATTGTTCTATTTGGCCTATATCTTTGTAACAACACAAGGAATTCTTTCTTATTTTATATGCTTTCCTACTCTTTAAAGCTTCTCTGCACCACATGCCTATCATTCTTTTTGTAAATTCAATCCTACTTCCGAGACTATCTATTTTTACTCCTCCTTCTTCTCCTAGAGTTATAGGTAATAATTTCTCATATTCTTTTAATAACTTGATTCCCCATGGGAATAGTAATTTCGTAAAATAAGACTTTAATATAGGCTTATTTTCTTGATAATCTTCTTGATTTAATATATAGTATAATTCCTCAAATTTACATGTATATTTTTCTAATTCACACACATCACATATTCTCAAATTTTCTATTGCTATCATTCCTTCATTATATTCATCTTGTTTTCTATCTTATTTATTAGAAGCATATCTATCTCCCAAGAACTCTGTTCTTAAGGCTCTTTCAAATCTTTTTAATATTTCTTGTATATTTTGATCATTTAAAGTATTTATATTATCTAATACTTCAATTCTATTTTCTCCATACTTTATTCTTTCTTTTATAGATTCTGGCAACTTTCTCTACCATTCAGAAACAATTCCTCTGAATGTATGTTCTATAAATCCAAAAGTTGTATATGTTTCCCATTTATTAAATTGTATTGTTAAGTCTGTACTTTTCATCCATGTTTCAATGACTTTATTTTTATCTACACAATCAAAATCTATCCATATTCTTGTTGTGTGGATTGATTCATTATAAGTTCTCATTGGATTAATTTCTTTTATGGATTGTTTTCTTATATTTTCAGTGTATCTTTTTTGTGTTTTTCTATATTGATTAATATCTTCGTTAATAGGTATTGTTGTATGATAAGGATAATCATATTCTTCATCACTACTGAATTCTATTTTTATATCTCGACTTGTTGATGGATTGGTATTCATCTTTGTATTTTCCATTTTTTCAATTAATTCTTCTAACTGTTTTTTATATTCATCATATTTTTCACCAGTAGATTTTAAGAATTTTTGTTCTAGTTCTTCTACATCTGTAATCATATATTGATTTTCTTCATATTTTTTCCCTTTATTATTTTCTTTTTGTGTTATCTTAAAATCTTAAAGTGGATTAATTATAATCCTATTTTTCCTTTAAGGTTTTTATCTAAAATAGCATTTCCAATTTGTAGATTATGTTCTAAATTTTCTAGTCTTTTGTGTATATCTTCAAAACTTTAATTGGTGGCGTTTTTAAGTAAGTAGGGATAACTTGGTTTTTTTTTGTTTTTCAACTTTTTTCAAAAATTCTTCGATTATATTTTCTTCATCTACTAAGTTCATCATAATTTTAGGTTCGTAACTTAGCTCTGATACCATTTGGTCGGAGTGTACAGCGGAGAGGTTAAGATTTAAAAGCTCTTCAGATCTTCTTTTAAATAACTTATTTCATTATCTATTGCATTTCTTAGATCAATGAAATTTTGTATAATATTTGGGGTTAAATTTATTAAAGATTCATGATCTATATTTCTTTGGGGACCTAATTGAAGGTTTTTATACATTGTAATGTCTTTAGTTGCAAATTCTCTATGAGGGGGTATTTTTGGAAAGATTATTATTTAAAGGTTATTCTTCAAACAATTATCTTTTCAGGTTTAATCTCACAATTTATTCTTATATTTAGGTTATTAGCAGGTATTTCCTCACTTTTCCAGCCCAAAAGAAATGCTACTTGGTGACGTTTATATTTGCTTGCATAATTTAACTTAGTAATGGCAAAATTAGATTATACAAGTCATAATTTATTCTACCCTTTTTGGTCCTTTTTCCAATGTTGCACAGGATCAGATCTCACATTTTAGGCTTCTACGAAATTTGTTGACTCAATTAAAGTTTTTTGTCTCTTGACTTCCATTCTGAATCTTCTGCAAGTTTATTGACTCGTTAAGCGTCATGTCATGTCCTATTAGATATCATTATCATTGTCCGCTGGTAGATATGTAAAGACTAGGGCTGTAAGCAAAAATCGCAAAATCGAATCGAAATTGCATTTTAGAAACCGTCGGTTTGGTGCTATGTGGACCCGGTCAACGAAATGATTTTGACCCAAACCAAACCGGTCAAAATGGTTTGGTTTAGGTTTGAGAATTTTAATTACGGTTTAAAATCAAACCGGATCGGTGAAAAAATATATAAAAATAAAAAAATGAAAATTTTTAAAAATTCATCCAAATATGTAAAATTCAATAGTTTTGTCATTTGTGGGTATTTTTGTCAATTCCTAATTTTCTAATACAGATATATTATTATTATTATCATCATCATCATCATCCAATAATCCTAATATATATTTAATAATTTTAAGACTAACATAATCTATCAAAAACTTTTTTCCTCGTCAAAATTTAGATGAACTCCAGTCGACACCCAACACAGTTTTGAGCCACCGACACTACACACTTCTTTTCGGATTTTTCACGCATCTTCAAAGTCGAATTGAAGTCTATTATACCAAATCGAAGACAAAGAGATTCTAGATCTTCGGTGATAATATTTGCTACAAATAAAGTTTCAGATCAATAATTTTTTGGAGCAAACTAAGGTAAGAATTTGAAATTAAATGTGTTTCATAACATCATACAAACGTAAACTTGTGTAATTGTTATGTTTAGATACTATAAACAATTGCTTTATTATTGTAGTTGGTTATTCTCTTTGTTTAATCAATATCTTTTTTTTCAGATATAATAATCACGAGGTCTTGTTGGACATCATTATTTTTTTGACCTTATATCTAGTTTAGTAGACTTGTATTATAACGTTATTTTATCGTCATTAACCTAAAAAAGGTGAACAAAAATGAAAAAAAAACTGTGTTTTAGTTTATTGTAATTTCACTTTGATTTAGTTAATATTTAAATTTATAGTAAATATATTTAGTCTCTGTTTGAGCCATATTTTTCATATCATCATAATGAGAAAATTGACTATTGGAGAGGAGGTTGGGTCCCACACATGAAATAGCAGGTTAACAAAGACGGCTTGACTTGTAGAATAACAATCCAAATTTTCATTTTTTTGTCCCAAAAATTTGATTCAAACAGGGGCTTAGTTTGTTTTAGATTTATTACTAGTGAGATATAAATATATATTAAATTCAATGAATTAATGACATAAAAGTAGACGGGCAAAAAATATATGGCGAAACCGGCGGCTTAAAACCGGACCAAACCGTTAGGTTTATGTTTGATTTTTTTTCAAACCGTTCAAAATGGTTTGGTTTAGGTTTGAGTTTTTCTCAAACCGTTTTAAACGGTTTGATTTGAAAATTTGTCAAAAATTGGTAAAACCGAACCGCTTACACCCCTAGTAAAGACCTACTATTTTCGCCCTTGGTATAACAGATCCAACAGAGATGTTCCCCTCTTATGTTACTGTAATTTATATACTTCAAAAGAAGCAATATACCCGTGTGGTTACGAAAATAACAAAAAGGAATGGCCAAAGCAAACAATTAGAACTCTTTACTAACTCAATCAACACAATACACAATTGGGATTAAGAAAGCAACCCTCATACAAAGCCACGTTTTTTTTTTCCTTTAGCTACAGCCAAAGAAACACTCCACGCCCGTCAATCAAGTCACATACGATGGCACAACAATATGGTAAGTTAAATCACCACTAAACCGAATTTAACTAAGATCAACATATGAATTTGAGCATTGTCCAAATGTCGTTGCAACTTGGTCTATGTTGGTCGGAGAGTACTGCTGCTTCCTCCAGATGTGTTCGACTCTCCCATTCTAGATGCCAAAGCGAGAACTTCAGGGGACATTTCCCAGCTTCCACTTTTCCTTCCCCAACTGGATCTCCTGGGATGTATTCCAGCTCGATCACCCTTGTCTACAGTGTTCCTTACCTCTGGGGACATTTCACCTAATCCACGTTCCTTTAAGCCATCGTTGTCACTCAACTGCCCTTCGTGTTGATCCAAGACAGCACCAACATCTCCCCACACTGCCTTCCTTCCCATCTCAATATCCTCCACTGCTTTACCCATATTTGGACTAACAAAACCACCACCTACAGATCGAGCTGGCAAAGCAGGTTCCCTCGGTACCTTTGCCCTAAAGTTGTTCTTAGATGGAAGGACAGGACTGCAAAATACTTCCATGAAGTTCTGAAAAACTCCTTTGTTATAGGGATTGGCACGCCGATCATACCGATATCTAAAATTTTCATAAGTAGTCTGCAAACAGCACGGAAACCTTTTCCATTAGTCACAACAAAAGCATGATAATTTTAATGTTCAAATACCAGGTTGATAAGGGAAAGGTCAGCTCTGACCTGATCCGTACTGATGAGATACAGATGGAATGCAGTAAGACCACCAACAAACCAAACTGATATAAAGGTGTAGATAATTAAAACAATAGAAGCGGGGGTCTTGACCATCGCTTTCCATATTGATATCTCGTCACTAACCATAATCCTTTTCACATAAACCCAGCAGAAACTGAAAACATATATACAAAGAAGAGTCGTCGAGAATACAAACATGAAGAAGAAGCGGTAGTTCCTCTGCGATCAAAGTTGTTAAAGATTCAGAACACGAGTCAAAGTGCAATTATAAACCACAAGACAATAGTGTCTATAGTTAATGGCACTAGATGGGAGATTCAGTTCTAGACAATGTAATAAAGTATATACCTAATGGCAGAGTTACCAAGAACTTAATGATTCTAGACCAGAGTAAATTTCTGACCTTAAATATGTCGAACAAAGGGTATTGGCAATTATGGGCTATCAAAAATAAAACCAACAGTAGAATTTTTTTATTTTTTCATTATTATTTTTTTTTAATAACCAGAAGCAAGATTGACTAGGGCTATGCAATCGGCAAAATATGGAAAAATTGCACAAATTGGCACAATATGATTTAATGACTTAGTCTGACTGTTTCAGTCAAACAGACATGTCATTCATAGCCATGATTTGTATAGATTTCTTTAACTTTTGGCTAAAGAAAAGGTCTCCAAGTATTACTATTTGATAAAATAAAAAATAAAAAAGAACTCTTATTAAGTATTTTTATCGAGATTCAATGAAATCTCACGATATAAAACATTGAAATCAACACTTTAATGTGAAAGTCAAACCAAATTAATTGAAGACATATGCAGAGATTATTGATTAAGAAACTGAAGCAGTAAAATAATTAAGAAACTGAAGCAGCAAACCCAAGTCCATAGAAAAGTTATTGCTAATTGACTGAAGTGGAAAGCAAAAATATTCTGATAAAGACATTCCACAGTAATATCAGCATGAATCTCAAAGTGAATGATGTGCTATAGCAGGGTGTGAAGGTGATGCTATAAAAAAGAAAAACATAAACTGTAGCACAATTTTTTCACACAACAGCATCACAATTAATATTGGTTATCTCAGGCAAAAAAAAAAAAAAAAAAGCATTTAAAACATCTTTTCGATTAAGGTTATGCAAATCCATCAACTAAACCTTGATGTATGATTTATACTCCTGAAGTTCAAATACAGAGAATGCCTACTTATTCTGGTAAATTGTGAAGACCGACTATAAAACCAATAAATCACTACAAATTCAGTGTCCAACCTCCTTTTAGATGTCTAATATGTTATATGACTAGAAATGTTGGCAAGGTACAAAGGTCAACCTTAAAACCAGGCTCCACAGCAACCATATGTCAATGGTGATAATTCACACTATTCACTCTATCCATTTCTTTGGAAGCAAAATTTTATTCCGTTATGTATTTCAAAATTTGTTACACGTCCAAGAATGAAGTTGTGCATACCAAATATTTAAAGTTGAAATGGAAAATTCAGTGTGTTGCTTATTTAAAAAGGAAAACACACAACACTTTCATTGGCAATTGCAGGACCTAACTTTCAGAATATGCTTCTCTACTCAAGGCGACATTCAACTCGAGATTAGATATTGACGAAGTAGCAGTGGAAAAGCAAGTCAAGTACTAGAGAATGCACTCTTACCAGTCCAATGCACTGCCCTACCCAAGGACAGTGATGATCAAATCGTTCAACGCAGTTATTACATATTGAACAGTGAGAGCAGCGTGGAGGTCTATAAAGCATACATGTGTCGCAGTACTTAATTTTCACAGTAATGCCATTAACCTCAACTTCCTTAATGCGAGGCAAGCGTAACTGTGGGGTCTGTGCACCTTCTGCACTTCCATTGTAACCTTCAGGTTCTGGAGGGTGAGCATTACGAGGAATTATACCTGGATCTCTTCCAGAAGTTAGTAGGAGAAGAATTAAATCCTGAAAATTCAACAGAGAAAAAAAGTTATTCAACATCGAATAAAGTTTCAAGATTCTTTTACGTGACATGCCCAAAAAGTACATGTCCAGTTACTGCTACCTATTGATAACAATCTAATGTCTAAGCCAAAAATATATGGTCCAGCCCAGCATAAGTAAGCAAGAAACCTTCTCATCGAAAAATCTTTTTGTTAATCACAAAACCTCCAAAATCAATCCATCAGCAACAAATACAATGTGGTGATAATTCATAGCACTAGCACCACCTACAAAATCTTTTCTGATCAAACCTAATCCATAGCTAAGCTAATCCTAAATGGAATGAAATGACGTTGGGGGAGTTTATTAAAACCATTGAATTCAGAATATGGTAAAGTAGCTCCCGGGTGGGAAACGATTCCTTTGACTGATGTCTCAATGGCTCTATTTTGTCAACTTAGTCACAAAGCATGGTTGATAGTGTTATAGTAGTAATGCATAGAAAAGCTTACTCGATCAGGTAACATAAAAAAGGGATACGTTACCAACAAATCAGGGCAAGTTTGAAGGCCAACGTCCTGTTACAGGTCTAACATAAGATAAGTCAGTACAAACCCAAACTCGCAGCAACTACCAGAGATAATTTACCTCATCATGTAAAGAACTTGGTTTTAATTGGAAGAACAAATGAACAGATTACTTTACTAATTGCATCAACATTAGGTGTTGAGAAAAAATCTACACCATCCCTGTATAAACATAGAATATAAAACTACCATCCTGACCCTATGACCCAAGAAGCACCAAAACGCGATTTTTTGAAAAAGTTTGACACATTATTAAAATAATATTTTTGAACTTATTTTAATTTAATAGTCTAAAGTAATAATATTTTATATTTATTGCATCATATGTATAACTAAGTTTATTTTTTAATGGAGGGTAAAATGGTAAAAAAATTAATTCACATAAAATTTTACATTTTGCTTTGTTATAGTATAAAATTGAAACAAAAAAGTAAATTAAATATATGCTACAAAAACTAATTTTACAAAATGCATTTAATATTATTGGACCCAACAATGAAAACTACATTGGTTTACACAACTTTTAATTTCCAGTCAACAGGTCTTTTCATTTCTTCTTTATTCTTCCTTCTTCCGTCGTCTTCTTCACAGGATTCTTTCTTCTTCCTTCTTTTCTTCTTTCTTCTTCCTTCTTCTTCATCTCCGACACGACACAAGCGACATGCGTTGGTGACATGTCGGAGATGTACTAGTGTTGATATATGTCGGACACCGACACATCGACGCCAGCAGCGTGTCGGTGCTTCCCACCTATGACTGTTACTTTAGCTTTTACCACTTGCTACAATATAAAGTCTCACTAATCAAAGTAAAACCAGTTTAGTTCATGAATACACGTAGCCCCTATTGTATAAGTTAGAAAATTAACTGTTTTCCACTCCCTTTCTTTTTTCTTCATTTTTTCTTGAAAAAAAAATGAAGAATATAACCATCCATAGAATATACCCAAGATGTCCTATCCAAAATGTCTTAACTATTAACTTTAGCATTATTAAGTAGTGAGTCCTTGGCTGAATTAGAAAGTTCATCAAGAAGTATACATGGAGTCCAACAATCAGTATAGATGCCATAATTTGAAGCATATCATTCGCCAAAATAAACAAACCTCGTTACTTCAGTCGCTCAATTTTTTGTCCACCAATCATCATTCCAGCTTCCAACGGTTTTATAATTTATTGAATAAGTCGAGAAATTTGGTATTTTGGAAGGAAATAATAAGATAGAATGCAAACAAACCTCGTTACTTCAGTCGCTCAATTTTTTGTCCACCAATCATCATTCCAGCTTCCAACGGTTTTATAATTTATTGAATAAGTCAAGACATTCGGTATTTTGGAAGGAAATAATAAGATAGAATGCAGATTGTAGTAGGCAAAAAAAGGTGGTTAGTAGTAGCTCCTGCTGCTGAAGAACAAGCAACTAAAATATCCCAAAATTCTGGTCTCTAGGAACCAAAGGAGTGAAGAAGCAAAAGGCAAGCTTCTTCACTGGGACTTTTCCGATGGTAGATGATATCTTTCTTTTCAAATACTTCCAGTACGACTAGATGGCCTCAAAAATAAAACATTCAATGACATTTAAATTAGAACTGCCTATACAACATGATAATTCACAAAAGTCTCTAGGATGAAGAAACGCTCAGCATAAGCTCACAAATGTGCTTTGCTATAGCTTTGGATTTCCCATGTAAATTATTGGTAGAAGTATATAGTTCAGTAATGGCTCTTCTTGATGAGACGAGGAAATATATTTGGTAACTGTTAAGTCTATCAGAAAAATATAATTTCTTCAAATCATTGAATAAGGAAACCTCTCTGAACCCACAGCATAGTATTTCTCCCGAAGGCCTATTTAGGATGACCAAACAATAAAGACAAGGAGAAGTTCATAAGAAAAAATCATCGCACCATCTATATTATGTAAAATGTAAAGGCCAACGCTATCTTACATTCTTACAGCTCCCACCACAGCTGAAAACTACCTAACTGAAGAGTCATGTACTCATCATTTCACTCCGCCATTACCTAGCTGAGCTCCTCAAAATAACAAGCGTGTTAGAAACTCTAAATTAGAAATAGCACCATTAAACAGTGTCTCCCTCGATGAATAAAGTTTTCTTACAGTGATATTTAACCTAAGGAATTTAAAATTGAAATTGCACAGCAATTACAAAAATGAAAAATCTAATAGACCAAAAAATGTTGCCACGGAAGAGAGAGAGACTTACATAAAATGTGAAAACAATGGCAACAAACATAATTGATGCTCCCCAGTGGTGCGAAAAATCATCCGCCAACTTTTTAGCAACAGATAAACAAAAAACAACGACAGGAGCCACAATCAGGAATATTGTGAGCCCCAATGACCTTGCATCCGGCCCAAATATAAACCTTCCTTGAAGCAAAAATTTCTGCAACAAGATAAGCAACCGAACAATTTAAAAACTTAGCAAAAAGCAACAACACATTCTCCATAAATGACAAGGAATTAGGATATCATCTCAAATGACCAAATGCATTCCAGGCTAATGAATTCAACATCAAAGTTCCAGCACTACAATTTTTATTTCTTCCCAGAGCCTGTTATATATAACAGGGAGGGATATTCCCAACACCACAAAAATCTAAACTGGGGTGAAGCGCAAATGTCAATCTTAAATTTATATGTAATTATACTCCTTATATACTAAACAAAAAAATTATATAGAAGCAAACCACAGTACAAGTTGATTCAAGAAAAGAAACTATACCTTTAAACCCACGCAAATCAGGGTTCTTAAGTATTTAACTGCTGTAGCGAAATGTGTAAATTAAGTCAAAACTAACATCCCTTGTAGAAAAAGATGTCTTACTTACCAATCATAATGAGCTCTAATTTACTAAAGCCAAGTTTGCAACCTGATAAAGCCGGATTCACATATGCTATTTATATATTTAATTAATACCCTGACAATGGGAGTTAACCTTAACAATAATTATCCTCATTTATCCCATTCTGACATTTCTGGTTTCACTGAGTCATAAAGTTACATCGGAAAACCGTTTTCGCCCAAAATTAATTCTACCATGCCTCAACTGTTAATAAATTAAATGAAATGAGACAAAAATCAAGGCTTTGCCGAAGTTTTTCTTCTTCTCTTTTGTTTTCCGTAGATAAACTTCTTTTTACCCAATTCAAACTAGCACCACAAATTCCAATGAATGGAGAATTTATTATGGCCCCCTTTGAGCCACATTAATATAAGAATAAGAGTGAAAAACTCAAATAATAAATAGAAAGTTTGGCTTTATGTGATTTTATGTGATTAATAACAGTCATATATTTTATTTTAATGGCAAATAATGAGAAACAAACGGTGATATAGAAAAAATGTCTAATGAAGCATAATAATCATCAACTACAAAGCACTCACATTGCTGCCTTTCCAAGTCTGGTAAATCCGGAGGGTATCCGACCCATCAGTGGATCCGGATAGCGGATCGGGCCTCTTCGGAGGAGGAACCACGTACATCTCTCTATTATCCTTGTCCCTCAAGTTGAAATCTTTAATACAAACCCCCACTACCAAAACTCTACACAATCAACTAATGCTACTATAAATACACGCACAACAATATAAAATGAGTGGTTACTTGAAATTTGAACTCTCCGGCGACAAAATTAGCCGTTAAATGAGTTCGATTCCTGCAACGGCGAAGAGTCACAAGAAGGAGGGCGAAGGGAGCCTTGGCACGGTGGGTTGTTGTGTGTGCTCTGCTTTTTAGATGACAGTGGGATTGATGTGAAGGTGCACGCTTTACAGGATGGTCAAACTGACGTGGCATGCTTTGATTGGATTTTCCTGGAATGGGACCCGTTTGGGATTGGCTGTGGACCCCACTCTCCACTGGATCATTTCCCGATCCCTAGTGACATCGGATCCAAGTTCCTGCGGCTGCGGCATTTCCAAATGAATAATAAAGGTAAGTGTACAAAGTACTCCTTAATTTATTTTATTTTCACATATATTAAAAAAATATAATTAATATAATTAAAAATTTAATTATATTCTTTTTAACACATATCTACATTAAATAATAATTTAAATAAGAGTGGTTCATATTTGTTGATAATAAGATAAATTAAAAAAGACTAATGTTTTTTAACACTTGTCTAGATAACTATGTTTAATAGGTTCAATTAAATTAATTATGTGACATTATATTTAAATAAATATATTATTTAATATCGTGCCACCTAGATTGCTGCATAGCACCAATAGTATTTAAATTCAATTTTATTAAAGGCAAGTAATATATAATTTGGAACAGACGAAAAAGGAAAGAAGATGGGCTCAAACATGGGCTATATTTGGTCGGGTACTTTTAAAATTGTCTCGGTTAAACCATCAAAATTTCACATTGACTTTTTAACAATTGGATATTATCACAATGACTTATTGAACATTAAAAAACAATATGTCCTTAAGTATATTATATAATTACAAAATGTTATTTTGTTTACTAGACATTAATATCCTTTTAGTTAACAATTGAAAATCAAACACTTTATACTTAAAAGTTTCAAAATTAGCTAACATTTATTATCTATTTATTTCAACACAGATAAAAATACTCTCATCTTTCATTTGATTCAACCTTAAAATCTGAAAAATTTATCGAATGTTGAGCTCGAAATTTTTTTTATATTAATCACTTCGAACCGGTAAGTATATTTACACATGTTTAATCTCGTTTTCGTTAAATTAGTATATATTTTAATCGTTAATTTATTTTGACATAGATTAGTATTAGTAGATAAATTCTTTTTAAAAGATCTATAATTTTTTTAACTTTAAGAAGAAAAAAATTTATGTCCATCTTTTGGAGTCAAACGATTAAGCATTTGGCTGCTATAAGCTAACAGCCGACAGCCTGTTGTTTGCCGGCTATTACACAGTTTTTTTGGATAATTTTTTTTGCCTCTGAATTTTTTCTTATAATTAAAATTTCTATTTCATGATGCAGATATTGTTGTAATCCTCGTTTGTTATTTTTCTGATTTCGAATTGGATGAAAATGGTCGGTGGGTATGAAAATTGACAAGTGATATACATGGTGGTATTCCAATTTTCGTAACAGAGAGTACATCATACGCGAGAATGTAACTTGATTCACAAAACAAGCTCAATGTTGATCATTCTCAATATGATATGAAACTGAGATTTCTATTCAACGTGCATTCATCCATTTCAATTCAACTTATGAAAATTACTTCTGATACCGAAGTGAATTATCTATTAGAATTGAACAGAATACACATGATTCTGACTATTCTTTTCTTGACTTTAGTGAAAAATGATGTTGCCAAAGGTGAACACGGAGATTCAAACAGAGCGGATGACAATGCTAATGATTTTTGGAACACAATGGACATAGTTTGTGAGGATGATGTACCAATTTTCAAGACAGTTGCTCCTTATCATGATCTTACTATTATGCACAGAATTTCCTCTATAGTTCATGACAATGAGAATGAAAAGAATTTACAAATAAGGATTTGACTGCTTTATCTTGCCACAAACATGAGCAGAGTGTGACTTTAGGGGCTGGATCGAGTGGACCGTCCTCTAACTCTTCCCATGTGGTTCTCGATGATGCTGATTTGTATGTCGAGCAACTGTTTGAAATAAAGAAAGATTTGCAGGAAGCTATGCACCAAATTCCACTAAAAATACAATTTTGAGTTCAATGTGAAAAAATCAAACAAGTCATTGTTAACAATCGTCCGTGTCAATGACAGTTGTCATTGGCGTTTGCAAGCGACGAAGTTGGACATGAATGAGTTCTTTGTAGTTCGTAAGTATATATGTGAACATACTTGTGAAATGGAAATTCATAGAAATGATCACAGGCAAACCCGAACTTGATTTATTGGTCGAAAGTTAATGGACAAGTATTGAAACTCACGAACGATCTACAAACCTTCGAACACTATTAATGACATCCGCTAAGAGTACGGAATGGTTATGAACTACTAGAAGGTCAAAGAATGTGCGTTGATACAACATAATGACTCGAATAATGCAGAGTCTCTCAATGCACTGTTCAAGAAGGATCGAGAGTTACCAATTCTAGTGATGATTGAGAACATTTGTAACAAGTTGCAATAGTGATTTCATGATCGACGTGCGGAATTACAGAGTTGCACGAGCATGCTAGCCTCGGCTCAAAAGAACAAACTCTTCAAGGCTATAGAATTGCGAGAAAGTTAAATGTGGAACCATTGGATGAGTTATGCTTCTCCATGAAATGTGTACGTAATACGGAATACATGGTAGACATGACTGATAGCACATGCACTTGCAGTCGATTTTAGTTGGAGAGTTTTCCATGTGAGCATGCAGTCGTGATCGCTATGTATTGAGGTTTTGCAACCAGAACATTATGCTCTTCTTATTACACAGCCGATTCTTGAAGAGAAACATATGCTAAAACTATATTTCCTTTACCAAATGAGGTCGAGTGGGAAGTTCCGACCATATTCTCCCAGTTAATACATTATTGCCACCAGAAGTTGAACTGCGTGGTCCTGAACGTTCACGTACATCTAGAATACCATCTACCGAAAAGTTTCGTCAACTGTATAGGTGCGGAAGGTGCAGAGCAATAGGGCATACCTGCTATTTTTATACAAGTCAAGTTTACCTAAATGATAATTAGATCGATTTGTAATGATGTCGATGTTAAATGAACGGTGTTTACATCTACTCCTAATTAAATAGGCAATTATCTCATAATTAGTTATTTAATTTACTTATTTGAATTTTTAAATAATTTCTTTAATTGTTTATGTGTATTATTTGTTTAATATTTAATTTACTTGTTTATTTAAATATTTCGTTAATTATTTTAGTTGGTTATGTATACTTTTTATTTAATGTTTCATTACTTTATTTAATTATTTATTTTCAAAATATTTACAATTATCCCGTCATTAAAAAAATATCAACGTATAATATGTACATATATTGGATAATATTTACAAATTATCTCAAAACTACAAAAATAAAAATAAACATATAATATTTACAAAGATTTAACAATGTTTACAATTACATCATAATTTGAAAAAATAAAAATAAAAAATCAATGTTTAACATTTACATAAAAAATCAACGCATAACATTTACGCACAAAAATATGCAAAAATATAAATTTCCTTCGACACTCGACAACATCTCGATGACCCACTCGAACATATACTCGAGTACCATGTATTCATTACCCATAAGTTGGAGCAACTAATACTCAGTAGTAACGGTACGGATGAACTCGGTGTTCAATATTACTCAACCAGGAACTTGAAACAATTTTGAATATCTTTCAGCTCAATCACGTAACAAGTCCACGGCCAAGTCAATGTGCTATATAAATAAACACCAAAAAAGATGGAGTTACTTCATTTAATAAGCCAAACATTATGTATACACAAAAATTATAATATGAGTACTTCACTTATATCGTCGCGAGCCAAGCCTCCAAAGTGGTGATATCGTGGAATTACTTGTAAGCGTACGATATATTGTCTTTCAAGCTATCGTGCGGCTAGCTCTGAAAAGAAACAGAGAAAATATTAAACGAAGCATATTCGAGTTAGCATGGCTTGCTTTACTAAAATCATACAACACTTACCTGGGCAAAAATTTTCTCCACTCCATCTTGAACGCTTTCCATTTGACATGGTCCACTTTTTAAAACAGGTTCGGGTATGTCTCGTCGACATACTGTGATGGTGATCTCGACCTTTTGCCAACCACCTGTTCCAGTACGTTAATAGCATGCTTCTTCGCCTTAGTCACACCAAGCGTCCTCTCCTCCTTCGCCTCGAGGACCGCCACCTCCTCTGCTCATGTCATCTCGTTCTTTTTTGCCACCATTCCAAACTCCGACAACCCCCTCCTCTACCACCGCTTCCGTCCCCAGAGGTGCCACCCGCTCCCGCTCCATAAATAATAAAAGTTATTCTAATCCTTCATCTCGGTCCAAGATCGAATTGGACATCTGGTCATCTTGGGTGTGTGGAACGGCTAATTCAGACACAAGACCTTGACCCTCCTCCTCCTCCATTAACGGTATTAAATCAGCTACTACTTTGACATATTGATATTTCAAATCGTTAACGATCATGTAATGAGATTTTAAGTTATGTACAATATAAATTATAAATGTATAATATTCACATGAGTGTCGTCGAGGAGAGCAGATAACTATTTTCCAGAGGGACATCAGTCCGCTCGAGATGCTCACCAATAATGCATCCGAGGGTAGCGTGTCTCCCTTCGCTTTGCAAAGCGGGTACCCAATAGGGGAATAGTCTCATATGCTCAGATTTACAACATTTACAATTACTATATAATTTTAGTAGAAAAATATTTTAACATTGATTATATTAAACGTTTACATGTACTACTAGGGATAATTCACAGGTATCGTACTTACGCATGGACCCCTTGGGCTTCGAATACGATCTGGTGAAGACGTGTACGGTGTCCTCGAAATATCTCCGATCCCATGGATAGTTGTTGAAGCCATCGATGTCATCGATGATCTGCAGATGGAAGAGGTCGATTGTAGTCTTCTTGCAGTTATACCACACCACGCTCTCAAGGATATAGACTAGACCCAACTTTAAACTGTCTAACATCCAGTTACACCTCGTGATTGCGCTGATCAACTATGGCAGAAACATCGTCCCCTATCCCTGGAAAGTAAGCATCGTGTAGCCTGTTTCTTCACTGGGTACTACACGAGCTGCT